CCGAAAGGATTGTTTACAATAATTAATCAGAATCAGAAGTACTGTTATTCTTTTCATTCTCCTTTGATACATCATTATCACCCTTCTTCGATTTCTTCCTAGGGATCTCTTCAACTACACTTGCAGTGGATTCACCATTTGAATTCTCACCCTCCAATTTGCTTTTGCTTTGCTCTTGATTGTTCTAAAAACATTCTTGTACTTGGTAAGCTTGCTCTTATTTCTCTCAATACTTTGCCCATTCATTCGATAATAATCTTGAATAATAATTGCTTTTCTGATCCGTCAAGCTCTGTTATTGGTTTCAAAATTGATGTGCAAACATGTAAGATCTGAGCAGTTCTCTCGGAAAGCTCACAAATTTCAACACTATTACTTGATCGCCATGTTGAATAGTCAACTGCGATAATTGGATGATATCTTGATTTTAGACTTTGGTGTACCAGCTTAGTTATTATCTGAATCTGAATCCGAATCTGATCAAGGCATGAAATCAAAATCTCCAATTTTAGATCAAGATTGAAAGGCAACTCTCTCAAATTTGTGGCTATGATTCTATGCATGTATTATATGAATGAATATTGCAGGATATGATGGCCATGATTCCAGTTCTTTATTGGGAGAAATTCGATCTCCTCTTCCTGAAACAAAAATATCCTTCATTTCTTCACAAATCTTATTCGCTGATTTAATATCTTGCTGAATTGGAACATATGTTGTTGAAAGAGTGAAAATGAGTCCTTCTCCAAAAAGGCAGAATTCATGCTAAAGGGCAGTATAATCAACAGCATTTTACAAGTTCAGTTCACAGAAAATTTGAAGGTCCTTCTTTACGGAAACAAATCTTGCTAATCCTTTAACACCTGCAGAACAAGTTCAATAGAATCCATTACGTATTATGATACTTGTCAATTATGTGATCTTCTTGATCTGAATGAACCCTTAAATTCAGGACAATGTATTGCTGGCAACTATGTAGTGAGTAAGAAACGAGATGCTTTGATACAAAAACAAAGAAGGTTTGTCAGGTTGAGTCCTTTTATAATGACTTTTCTTCAATACAGCTTGCTATTGAAGAACCGAAACGTATCATTGAGATATCAAGGAAAAAGGGTTCCGTGTGTTATTCTTGACCCTTCCAAACAGGCCTAACAAGTATATTACAACAATCAATACATTTAATATTTGACTTTATTAATTTCAAGACTTGGTGAAATTTCAAATACTTTCGAAAAAATTTACAAGTCGAGCTTGGGCAATTCTACATTTCGCTCACATCGCAAAAATCCATTAACAAAAAATCGTTAAAAGTCAAGCCAGCATTTGCGAAAAGGGTTTAGCGGGTGATCCGCCTAATATTAAAATTCTCAAGAAGAAAAAAATGTCCACACAAGAGGCAACATCAACATTATCGGCAATGGAATCATTGTCTCGATACGTCAACATCTTTAACAAACTTGCCGATATTCTTGTTGGAGAGTTTCAAAATCACCCATATCGTTCATTGATTGATGTTTCAATTATTGTTTTAATTGTTTGGTATTTGATGAGCAAGAGACGTTCAGCTGTGCCACCACAAAAACTTTCCAAGAAACAAGAAGATGAAATTATTGAAGATTGGGAACCTGTACCACTTGTTCCAACCTCTGATGATAGCAATGTTGATGCTACAATTAATGCTATGAAGGAACATGAATATGTCGTCACTTCAGTTGCCGATGTTGAATTCACTGTTGAAGGAAAGAAGGACAAGGTTATTAACTTTGGTACTAATAACTTTTTGGGTTTTATTGGTGATAAGGATATTCATGAAAAGTGTAAGGATACTGTTCGTGAATATGGT